TATATATATATATATAATAAATAATATAAGTATTATATTATTTACTAATAATAAGGACGTGGGTATGAAAGGCATGAGGGAGGGCCTCATCAATACAAAAGACGTCGTCAGCCAATCTGTTCAGAACGCGGCCCATTGGCTCCCTATCAAACCATTTAGGAGGGGCCCTAAGAAGAAAAAAGGCAAAAAAAAAATAAATATAAATAAATCTAAATAATTCTAACTATAAATATAATTACTAGCAATTATATTTAATTAAATATATAATTATATCTTCTACTTCTCTTATCTCCCTGCTAAATTCACAAATGTAACGTTGCTTTCTTATCCTCAGTTCTGCTGTTGTTGTTGCTGCTGCTGTGTCTGCTGCTGCTGTTCATACCTCAAGACTGCGGCGAGTAGGTTAGCTTGTAGTAGAGCAGCAGCATTAGCTCCGCATTTAACGAATGCTGCTGTGGTGACAGCAGAGAAGAAGATAGAAAGAAGCGCCAATGCCCAATAACATATTAGATAAAACATTTCTTCTGCATGCATTCCTTTATACCCTAATCTTAATACCCAATGATGTAAACCTGCAAAAGGCGGAGGACCGCCAGCTGTCCATAAACGTAACCAATAGTCACATAATGTTATGCAGCATGTACTTGCCTGCACACAAAAATACATATATACTTATATGTTTTATGTATATTTTGTATATACTTTATATACTATATGCTGACGTGCACCCCAATGTGCTGCAGCAGCAGCAAATCCAGCAGCAGCAGAGGCAAGAGGTGGTAATTGCGGTGGCCGGTTTGTGTGATTGGAAGGGTCTACACGAGATTGCTGCTGCTAGTGCTGCTGTGTCCCTAGCTGCTTACAGCGCATGCAAGAAGCAGCAACATCACACAGTGCGTGCCTGCGCTGCGTATATACAGCCGCCAAACCCTCCAAGCCACTTTCCCCCTGCGTGTTGCTTCGGGGCTGGCAGCAGGAGCCGCTCCATTCCAAGGGCGTACAGACTCATACGCCTTCTCTTCAGCAGTAGCAGGAGCAGCATCAGCAACATCAGTAGCAGCAGCAGCTGCAGCAGCAGGTTCAGGCGCCTCCATGATTTCCCCTTGGCCTGCCGAGCTAGCCTCGCTGCAAAACCAAAAAAAAGACAAATACAATCAAACCCTTTCTCCCCCTCTTGTATGCAGATCCATGCACATATGCATGAACATGGATGAATATGCATGCAAAAGCATGCATGCATGTGGGGATGGCAGGAGAGGGAATATGAACTGCTGCTGGTTTTGCACGAAAAACACCTCAAACACAAACTCCACAGCTGCTTCCATTACTGCCAATGGAGAGAGGTGCCACGAGTCCCTAGCAGCAACAGCATCTTCAGCAACAGCTTGGATGTTGCTGTAGCTGGCGCGTGCAATAAGTGCCACAGAAGCAACTGCTGTGTGTGTATTTCTGCTTACCCCTGTATGCAAGTGGAAGCTTGCTGGTCTTGGTTGCTGCTGCTGTAGCAGCGGCTTGTTTTGCTGCTGCTGCTCAGGGCGCTGCTGCCCTCCCGCCCTCTTTGCCTGCTGCGCAGGTCTTGAAGGGACAAACATTGAGTTGCTGCTCCTCCTGACAGCAGCACAAATGTCGATGCAGCAGCAGCAGCATCCAACATCTCCAAAAATGATTGCTGCACCACCAGCAGCACTGTACGCCCACTCAATACTCCTACAAACATACACACAGACACACACCCTGCCGCTGCTACCGCTGTTGCTGTTGCCGTTGCTGTTGCTGTTGCTGGTGGTGGTGATACTGTTGCTGCTGGCGCTGCTAGTCGCGATTCTGTTGCAGCTGCTGGTACCTCTGTTGCCTTCATGCCAGGCATCTGCTCATGCACCCTTCCGTCCTCCTCTTGCTACTGCTACTGCTGCTACTGCTACTGCTGCTACTGCTGCTACTGCTGCTGCTGCTGCTAAGTGTTACCTCCCGGTGCGAAGACGCGTTTCCATATGACCATGGCAGTGACAGCATCTAAGGGACTAAAAGGATCATCTATTAGATAGAGAGCCCGACCCCCTGCTGCTGCTAGCCGCCCCAGCTTATATGCGTCAAATGGCGCAGCAGCAGCAGCATCGCCGGTGTTTGCATGCCCCTTAGCCACCTCATGCTGCTCCTGCTGTTGTTGTTGTTGTTGCTTCTCCTGAGCAGCAGCACAGGCTGAAACTGCTGCAGCACTGTAGATAGCCCGAGCCAAACAAATCCGTGCACGCTGCCCCCCTGCATGCACGCATGCACAAATCAAGTCCCAAAATGTCTGCCCTAGTCCCTTTGCGACTTGCTCTCTCCTCAGCGCCTTTCAGAACATATATACCCATAGCCTCGTTTCTACGGTTTAGGGTTTATTAGGGTTTAGGGTTTATTAGGGTTTATTATTGTTTATGAGGGTCTATGTTGCTGACCGCTAAGTCTGTGTCCTCCTGCATCAATGGGGCTGTCATGTCCTCCTACTGCCGTTATATCTTTATCAAGAGCGCATGCATGCACAACTTGTTTATAAGCAGCAGGCAGCAGCGGCCTCCCCATTAATATGTTGCTGCTGACGGATCCATCAAATATTAATGGCTGCTGTGGACAAAATCCCACAAACTCCCATGGATCGTCAACACTTATCTCACTAGCACAATTGCTGCCATCTGATACCCCTGCTGCTGCTGCTGCAGGTACTGCTGCTGCTGCATTCGCTGCTGCAGGTGCTGCTGCAGGCGTTAAATTCGACAAACGCTGATCGTTCTTGTCGCCTTTGCTACTGCTGCTGCTGTTGGAGTGTCTAGGGAGGTTAAGGAAGGCCTCTCCTCTAAGGAGACTCATTTCCCCTAAGACAGCAGCAAGAAGACTACTCTTGCCGCTGCCTGATCTGCCGACGATAATGTGTAACCCCGGGTGTATATCCATCTCTACATCATGCAGCACCGCGCTGTTGCTGCGCAAACAGCAGGGGACCTTTTCTTCCCCTGCTGCTGCAGTTGCTGCTGCTGCAGATACAGGTGCAGGCGTTCGGCCTTGGGTTCCACGGGGGACACACGCCGCATCAGGCGCCAGTCTGTCGCCACTGCTGCTGTTGCTGCTGCTGGTGCTGTATTGGTTAGCGCTGGTCTTCTTGGGGCTGTCTACAGCAGATGCAGTAGGGGAGAAGCAGCAATCGGCAAGAGAGGGAGAATCATTAGGACGGAGAGGCCGCCAGCCAAAAGATGCATGCCTAAAAGATATCACTGGAGAAGCAGCAGGATCCGCTGTTGCTGCTGCTGCTGGATCTGTTGTGGCTTCGTATGAGGTTTCTGCTGCTTCGTTCGCCGTTGCAGTTGGATTGAAGTTATCTGCTTTCTGCTGCTGCGGAAGTGCCAAGGGTTGCTGTTGCTGTTGCATCCGTTGTTGCTGCTGCATGCGTTGCTGCTGCAGCATGTATGCATGCAGAGCAGCAGGCGTTGGTTTAAGGCATTTACCAAGACGTTTTAATGCAACAGCAGCAGCAGTTATATCTGCCATTAACGTTGGTAATCCATTAAGGGCCTGTAGTGCCTTATCTATTAAGGCTAAGGTAGCAAATAGGCGACTAGCTCGTAACGCGTTGCTGCTGCTGCTGCTGCTGTAGCTGTTGCTGCTGCAGCCTGCATCACCACCCGTCCCACTGGCACCACTCGTACCAGTATCACTACCACAATCCGTAACCATGCCGCTGCTGCTGCTGCTGCTGCGAGCTAAGAGACAACTTAGTGCAGCAACCTTAACAACAAGAGGAGCAGTAACAAATAAACAATTACCTACTGCATGCAATAAATATCTTTGGCGCAACAAAGATAATTCCTCTAAACGCATGCACCAGACCCTTAAAAAGCCCCATTTCTCTCCCCCCATTATCTTTGTTTGCCTTATATGCAGCAGCAACTCTCTGCATGCACGAACTCGGGTGTCTCTGCAGCTCATTAATCGATGAGTTAAATGACGTAAACAACGACCTAAACGTAATTGTATTAATAAACATATCCCTGTAACACAGACAAACACACAGACACAAATACAATATAACTCTGCTGCTGCTGCTGCTGCTGCTGGTGTTGCTGGTGTTGCTCGTGGTGGTGATACTGCTGCTTGTGTTCGTGATGGTGGTGCTGCATGCTACTGCTGTTGCTGCTGTTGCTGGCTGCATGCATATATAGTGTATAAGTATGTTAATAAATGTCTTTGTATACCTGTAAGAAGAAAAGCATAAAAAAAGGCAGAAGGAATTTGTTTATAAATAAGAAGAAGATTAATAAATAATGTTAATGGTGCTGCCCATAACTCTTGTAGTACACAGACGCCTGCCTGTGTCCTCTCGCAGTCTATACTAACTAAATTTGCTAACTCTAGTGCAGCAGAACCACTCTTGCTGCTGCTGCTGCTGCTGCTGTTGCTGTTGTTGTTGTTGTTGTTGGTGGTGGTGGTAGTGTTGGTGGTGGTGGGGTTGCTGTTGCTGTTGTTGCGGCTGCTGCTGCTGCGCTTGCTGCTGCTGTCTCTGCCCGCAGCAGAAAAAGAACTGGACAACGGTGAATGAGGCTTAGGGGAAGTTAAACACTCATACTGCTGCTGCTGCTGCTTCTGCTGCTGCTGCTGTTGCTGTGTGCTTGCTGCTGGGTCTTCAGATATGTCCGGTGTCACTGCACCAGAGACACTTGAGAACCCGCTGCTGCTGCTGCTGCTGTTGTTGCTGCATCCTTTGTTGCTGCTGTTGCTGCTGTCCCGGCAGCTTTCCGCCTCCAGATACCCCGTTCCGACGCTGTCTTCTGGTGATGATACCATACCAGCTGCAGCAGCTGCTGCTGCAGCAGCAGCAGCAGCATCAGGAGGAAGCACGCTGCTAATTTGCTGCACCTCTAATGAGGGAGCAGCATCTGTCTCCTCTTGACTAGACACTTGTCTTGCAGAAGAAAAACCCTCAGAGAATAAACGACTGTCTCCTTCGCTTACTCCATCTTCGTCACTCAATGCCTGCAGCAGCAGCAGCAGCAGTAACAGCAGCAGCAGCAGCACAGATTTGAATTCATGAGAAACAGCAGAAACACATAGCAGCAACAGAGACGAACACAGTCTGCAGCTGCAGCAGCAGCAGCAGCTCCAACAGCAGAAAGATGTCTAGTTTGTTTTCTTACCGACAGATAGGACTCCGCGCTGCTGCTGCTGCTGGCTCCTCCATGGTCGGCAGCAGCAGCAACAGCTTCCGCTGCTGCAGCAGCAGCAGTTTCTGCATGCGCTGCTGCTGTTAATACAGCAGCAGCAGCACCATTAAAGAGAGTCTTAGAGACAGCGCGATGCAAACTGCCACCAAAGGAGACAGCTCGTGTCAATGCACCCCCTGTGCTGCTGCTGCTGCTGCTGCTGCTGCTACTGCTGCTCTTGCTGCTGCTGTTGGTGTCGCTGCTGCTGTTGCTGCTGCTGCTGCAACTGCTCTCGATGCTGCGACTGCGCACCAGACGAGTTGGCGGCTTATCCGAAGCTATCAGACCGTAGCCTTTGCTGCTCCAACGAGTGCTGCTGCTGCTACTGCTGCTGCTGTTGCAGCTGCTGCTATTGCTGCTGCTGCTGCTGCCTTTGCGGGTCCCCTTATACCCATGGGAGCCGTCAACGCCCATTCCCTGATAATCCGCTGCATCACCCCAACCAATTGCTGGTGCTGTTGTTGTTGCTGCTGCTGTTGCTGCTGTTGCTGCTGCTCTGGCAGCAGCAGAAGCCGCTGGAGCAGTACTTGCTGCAGCTGTGGCTTCTTCGGCGTTAGCAGCAGCAGCAGCAGTTGCTGCTGCTGCTGCTGCTGCATTGTTATCTAAGGCGAGCGCGTTTCCCTCAACAGCAGCACCCTCTCTGCTACTGCTGCTGCTGCTACTACTACTACTACTGCTGCTGCTGCTGCAGGGTAGAGGAGCATGTGTCTGTCTTAATGCTGCCTCGAAGACAGCAGCAAGAAGAGCATTTTTTGCCTTAAGTGCAACACGACGCATGCAGAAGCCGCAGCGAACATTTAGATAGACCTGCAGGTAAGCAGCAGCAGCAAGCAGCAGCGACAGCAGCAGCAACCTGTTGTGGGGCTGCATGCACCATGTTGGGAGGCTCCAACCTGAATTTTCCTTCTCTGCTGCTGCAGCTGCAGCAGCTGCTGCTACTTTTCCTGTTCCTGTTGCTCCTTGTACCGCTGCTCCTCCTTGTGCTGCTGCTGCTGCTGCTGCTGCTGCAGTGTAGGGCTGTGGCGACTCAATGCATGCAACAATAGCCTCCAGCAGCAAAGGAGAGAAAGAAGACAGCAGCAGCTCCAGCAGCCGCAACAAAGACAGAGGAATAACACAAGGAGTTAATAGACGAAAAAGAACCTTATATACAGATAAATTCTGCTGCTTTACTTCGCTGCTGCTGCTGCTGTTGCTGCTGTTGCTGCTGTTGGTCGTGTTGCTGCCGTTGTTGCTGTTGACTGCTGCTGCCGTTGCTGCTGCTTCGGATAACAGGCTGTTGCTAATAGAGGTAGCAACAGCTTGTATGCTGCTAGTTGTCTCTAGGGGGGGAAGAGCAGCAGCAGCAGCAGCAGCTCTTAATTCCTCAAGGGTTTGCGGTGTATGCGCAGCTTCTGCTATGCATGCAGCAGCACCAAAAGATGAAGACCAACGCCAAGGCCAATACCAACGCCTACCACCACCTGCTGCTCGTGCTGCTGCTGCTGGTGCTGCTGCTAATGTTGCTGCTGCTGTTGCTGCTGCTGTTGAACATGATGCTGTAGCTGCAACAGGCGAGGGGGCTACAGCCACGCGAAAATCATCGGCTGCAGCAGCTGGAGCAGCAGCAGGTGCTGCTGGTGTTGCTGCTGTTGCTGCTGCATCGTCTTCTGCTGCTGCTCCATTTTGCTGCAGCAGCGGCTCCGTCTCGGACGACATCTTTTCAATGCCTCGGCTTCTGTCGCATCTACTGCTGCTGCTGCTGCTGCTGCTGTGCTGCTGCTGCTGCTGTGGGCAGCACCAGACGTTGTGGATGCAGCAGCAGCGGGAGCAGCAGCAGCTGCTGCAGCTGCAATATGAGGCCTAGGGGCCCCCGTAGTAGGGGAGGCAATTGCTAAGGCGGTTCCACATGGGTCCTTCTGCCTCCCTTGTAGAATTGGGGTTTAGGGTTTAGGATTTAGGATTTAGGGTTTAGGGTTTAGGGTTTAGGGTTTGTGGGGAGCGATCGTCGGCGCCGCAGAGCCGAGACGAGAGCACAATACAAGAGAGGAGGGGGAGAGGGTTTTGTGTCTTTTTGTGGTTTTTTTTTCTTTAAGAAAAAATAAAAAAGAATTAGTCATTAAATATATAAATAATGCATTTATTGCTACTTATTACCATCAGCAGCAGCAGCAGCAGCAACAGCAACTACAGCAACACCTACTACACCAACAATACTAGCAGCAGCCACATGTGGGGCCCCTGCATGCCGCTGCCGACAACATGAGGACTGCAGCAGCAAGAGCAGCAGCAGCAGCAGCAGCAGCAAATCCAGCAGCAGCACTTACAGTAAATTAGAGAGAATTTCTTTCTTTTTGCTGCTGTCCTCCAATCATTAACGTTTCCTTTGCAGTGTATATACACATCAGGCAGCAGCAGAGACTCAATGCTGCTGCTGCGTTAGAGGTCTGCTGCTGCTTGTTTCGGGGCTTTCTTGCATGCAAAAAGCATCTATAAATTGATTATAGAGCTTGCTGCTGTTGCTAAAGGCAGCAAACTGCTGATCTGCTGCAGCAGCGGCAGCAGCAGCAGCTGCTGCTGCTGACTGCCGAAACTCGACGATCGAAGCCCCAAGAAAAATAGCAGCAGCAACGCAAACGCAGCACAGCAGCAGCTCCTGGACCAGCAAACAGCAAGACAAGCAGCAGCAGCAGCAGCAGCAGATACTGTATCACCTCCCCCGAACCATCCCGGGTATCGACGAGAGCACACAAGCAGCAGCAGCTGCTGCTAGACCAACACGAACCGCACCCATAGCAACGGCAGCAGCAACAGCAGCAGCAACAGCCGCAGCAGCAGGAGGAGGAGCAGCAGCAAAGGTTGTAGAAGGACACAAATGACAAGAAGGGACATTATTTTTTCTTCTTTTTTCTCTTCCCTCTTCTTGAGGATTAATAATAAAAGAAGATAAGAACCCCACACTTGCTGCTGCTGATCTGCAGCGACTACAGCAGCAGCAGCAGCGGCTGCTGCTGCTGCTGCTGGTCTTGTTCGGGGGCCGCTGGGGCGGCAGTTGGCTGCAGCAGCAGCAGCAGCAGCGATGCCGGTTCCCCGCATGCTGCATGTTAGGGCAGGATCCAGTCGGCTGCCTCTGTTGTTGCCATTGCTGCTGCTGCTACTGCTGTTGCTGCTGCTGCTGCTGCAGCAGCAGCAGGGCGTTGCATTTACGTTAAGACATGCAGAGCCATCGAGGGTTTCTTCTTTTGGATTTTATCCATCAACCAAGCAGCAGCAGCAGCAGCAGCAACGCAGCAGCAGCAGCAGCAGCAGCAGCAAAGCTGCCGCCTCTTTAAGACTCGTCCCTCATTTCTTTGTTGTTTCTCCTGCTGCAGTGCAGCATCTCAATCCAACACCACGAAGCCAGCTGCAGCAGCAGCAGCAGCCGCCCCTGTCCACCCTGCAGCAGCAGCAGCAGCAGCAGCAGCAGCAGCAGCAGCGTCGTGTGTCTACCCGAGCAGCAGCAGCAGCATATGACGATGACATAGATGCAGCTAGTGATATACTGAATGTGTCTCATGATGATGATGGTGCAGCAGCAGCAGCAGCAGCAGCAGAAGATGGAGACGACAGCAGCAGCAGCAGCAGAGATGACCACGCCTTGTTTGATGTTGATGGTGGGTATGAAGATGATGGTGCTGCAGGTAGTTCTTTCTTACCTGGATCAGCAGCAGCAGCAGCAGCAGCAGATGAAGGGGACGAAGCAGCAGCAGGAGAAGGAGACGAAGCAGCAGCAGCAGCAGCAGCAGAAAGTGATTTTTCCTCTTATTTAGAGGAGGAAATCGATCCAACAGAAGCAGCAGCAACAGGAAGAGGAGGAGGAGGAGCAGCAGCAGCAGCAGCAGGAGAAGGAGAGGAGATGGATGATGATACAGATCCAGCAGCAGCAGTAGCAGCAGCAGCAGCAGGAGCACAGGAGCAGCAACTAACACAGACACAAATAGAGCAGCGAGCAGTTCTTCGTCGTATACAGAAGGAGAGAGAGTCTCCTGATGTAGCAATATGGCAGCAACGTGCAGCAGCAGCAGCAGCAGCAGCAGCAGCAGCAGAAAAAAATACTATAGAGGAGAGACACAGGAGGGAGGGCCTCCCTCCTCCGCATGCAAGGACTGTTGATCAACTTCCTGTTAAATCTATCAATATAGATAATGATACTATCTTATACAGACAGGTAAATTATATTAACAGCTAGCTAGCTAGCTAGCTGGGTGGCTAGCTAGCTGGATAGGTAGCTAGCTAGCTAGCTGGGTGGCTAGCTAGCTAGCTAGCTAGCTAGGTGGCTAGCTAGCTATGTAGGTATGTAGGTACGTAGGCAGCTATCTAGTTAGCCAGGTACCTTGTTAGCTAGCTACT